ACATGAATGTAATGGAATATTATTGTAACATAAGAAATGAAGAAATGGTTCCACAGAATCCTGAGTAGTAAGAACTGACACAAAATGTAGTTCCAAGAGAACAATTTATACAAGGATAGCTTAAAAAAATGTAAGAACCCTGATCAATACAATAATGAATCATATCTCCAAAAGACCTGTAAAAGACCTCCTGACAGAGAAGTAATAAACGAGGTATAGAGGCATGCACGTTGACTGACATGCATTTTGGGACTTGGTGAATTTCATTTTGCTTGACTATGCTTACTTGTTGCAAATCCACCCCTCTCTCCATCCCCCAGCCCCAATTCTTTCTCCAGGTTTTGTTTTTGGTTAGGCAACGGGATTAAGTTATTTGCCTAGGGTCACACAGCTAGTAAGTGTCAAGTTTCTGAGGCCACATTTGAACTCAGGTCCTCCTGATTCCAGGGCCAGTGTTCTATCCACTGCGCCACCTAGCTGCCCCTTCTAGGTTTTTAATTAAAAATGTGAGCGATAGTAATGCCAAGGGGAAAAAAAAATTCAAGAGGGCCATTTTAACATTTAAATAAACAAAAGAGAACAGAAGTTGAGAAAAAAGTACAAGCAGGACAGTTTTGAAAATAACAGGTAGAATTACATATATTTTTGAAAAAGCAAGTGGTATAAAATGAAGATTTATAGTTTCATGCAGAATCTTTTCTGTTTTGCTATGTCCATGGAAATATGTTTTAAGTTCAGAATAAAAAAATTTTAATGGCCTCTCAGCTTACATTTGTGAACAGGAAAAGTCCCATTTCTGACCAAATGTTGGATATGTTCTGTACTTTTGGGACATTCCAGGGTAGTGACTGGTAGAAAGCAAATTGTAATCTATTACTTCTGCTTCAAGATCTATACTTTGGCATCTTTGAGACCAGTAAATGGTCAAAGGTCCATGAGAACATGAGAATGAAATATTTCTTGAGGCTGGCTAAAACAGAGACATGTGAAATGTCACATCTATGATCTCTGGTAATATGGAGCTCTTTGGGCCCAGACGAACATTTATCTATGAACTTGTTTTTGGTAAAGAGGGGACAGCGTCTTAGCTGGTTTCAGGGGTGAAAGCAAGAGAAAAGAATTTAAAAATCCGGGCATACACAAAGTAGCCAATTCTAAATTGCCTAGCAAGAGAATGGCCTTGAGTGGTTCTCTCAGAGTGAGAAGAGGTGCTTATGGCTCTGTCCCTTATAATACTGTATCAGAATGCTAACTCAGATTCTATGAGGGAGCACAAAATAAGCTTTCAATACATAAAGATCCTAACAAACCCTTAGTCATTAATATAGCTATGTATAAATTTTCAAGAAAGAAACAGTATTACTCCATTTATATTCCTGAAAGACAGCCATCTGCCAATGTGAAATTTTAAGAATTATGTAAATACATCCTAACATACATCATAAGAAAACATTATAGAAATCACAAACCAGACACCAATATGGCATAAGCAGTCATATTTGAAAAGCTCTACCAACTATGACTTGGCCAAAGTCACACAAGTAATTAACACACTTGAGTTCAAACCCAGATTCTTGGACTCCAAGCCTAGTATTTTTATGGATTATCTCACTGAGCTTTGGTATGTGTCCTTAACAAAGCCTACTTAAAAATGCAGAAATTCTACTATAAGTACTGAAGTTCCTGAACTGCAGGGCCTTTTTCTTCCTACAAAACTCCAGAGGCACAAAGTGATTTGTTGTTGAAGATTAATCTCATAGTTTTTCTCTGTATACGAATAGTATTTTCCATCATGAGTCTTTTGGAATTGTCTTAGATCATTGTATTGCTGGGAAGAAGAACTAACTCTATCATAGTTGATCATCGTACAATGTTGTTGTTACTGTGTACAATGTTTTCCTGGTTCTATTTACTTCACTCAGCATCAGTGCACATAAGTCTTTCCAGGTTTTTTCTGAAGTCTACTTCCTCATCTTTTCTTATAGAACAATAGTATTCCATTACATTCACATACTACAACTTGTTCAGCCATTCTCTGATTGATGGGCATCCCCTCAAATTCAAACTCTTTGCCATCATTAAAAGAGCTGCTATAAATATTTTTGTACATGTAGATCCTTTTCCACTTTTTTTTATGATCTCTTTGGGATACAGACCTATTAGTGGTATTGCTGATCAACAGGTATGCACAGTTTTATACCCCTTTGGGCATAGTTCCAAATGGCTCTCCAGAATGGTTGATAGTTCACAACTCTGCCAACAATGCATTAGTGTTCAAATTTTCCCACATCTTCTCCAACATTTATCATTTTCCTTTTCTTTCATATTAGCCAATCTGATAGGTGTGATGTGGTACTTCAGAGTTGTTTTAATTTGCATTTCTCTAATCGACAGCGATTTAGAGCATTTTTTCATATGACTAGAAATAGCTTTAATTTCTTCCTCTGAAAACTGCCTGTTCATATCCTTTGACCATTTACCAGTTGGGAAATGACTTGTATTCTTATAAATCTGACTCAGTTCTCTATATATTTGAGAAATGAGGCCTTTATCAGAAACTCTGGCAGTAAAAATTGTTTTCCAGTTTTCTGCTTGCCTTCTAATCTTGGTTGCATTGGCTTTGTTTGCGCAAAAACTTTTTAGTTTAATGTTATCAAATTTATCCATTTTGCATTTCACAGTATTCTCTCTTGTCTGGTCATAAATTATCACCTTCTCTGAGGGTAGCTAGGTGGTGCAGTGGATAAAGCTCCAGCCTTGGAGTCAGGAGGACCTGAGTTCAAATGCAGCCTCAAATACTTGATACTTACTAGCTGTGTGACCTTGGGCAAGTCACTTAACCTGGTTAGCCTCACCTCCCTCAAAAAAAAAAAATTATGACCCACATGTACAAAAATATTCATAGCAGCTCTTTTTGTGGTGGCAAAGGATTGGAAATTGAGAGGATGCCCATCAAATGGGGAATGGCTGAGCAAGTTGTGGTATATGAATGTAATGGAATACTATTGTGCTATAAGAAATGATGAACAGGCCGACTTCAGAAAAACCTGGAAAGACTTGTATGGTCTGATGCTGAGTGAAGTGAGCAGAACCAAAAGAACTATGTACACAATAACAGCCACATTGTGCGATAACTAACACTGATAAACTTAACCCTTCCCGGCAATACAAAGATCTAAGACATCTCCAAAGGCCTCGTGATGGAAAATGCTATCCACATCCAAAGAATGAACTATGGAAGTTGAATTGCTATTTTTTTCTCTCTTCTGTTGAGCTTTGTTTCCTCTTTCTGGTGGTTCCTTCTATTGGTTCTAATTTTTACTTATAACATCACTAATGTGAAAATATGTTTAATAGGAATATATATGTATAGCCTATATCAGATTGTGTGCCATCTTGGGGAAGGTGATGGGGAGGAAGGGGGAGAAAATTTCTAAACTCAAAAGCATATGGAAGTGATTGTTGATAAATCAAAATAAATTAATAAAAAAAATTAAAAAAAATTTATCCCTTTCTCCATAGATCTGACAGGTAAACTATTCTGTGCTCTCCTCATCTGCTTATAGTATCACCCTTTACATCTAAATCATGTACCCATTTCGACCTTATTGTGGTATAGGGTGTGAGATGTTGTTCTATGCCTAGTTTCTGCCATACTATTTTTCAGTTTTCCCAGCAGTTTTTGTCAAATAGTGAGTCCCAGAAGCTGGTGTCTTTGGGCTCATCAAACAGTACATTACTGTAGTCACTGACTACTGTTGTCTTGTGTACCTAACCTATTCCAGTGATACACCACTCTACTATGGAGCCTGAATGCAGATCGAAGCATGCTAATTTCTCTTTTTATTTTCTTCTTGTGGTTTTCCCCTTTTGTTCTTATTCTTCTTTCACAAGATGACTAATGTGGAAATATGTTTAATATGATTGTACATGTATGACTTCTATCAGATTGTGTGCCATCTTGGAGAGGGACAAGACAAAGGAAGGAGAAAAAAACTGGAACTCAGAATCTTATAAAAGTGAATGTTGAAAACTATCTTTACATGTAATTGGAAAAAATAAAATACTATTAATTGGAAAAATTGTGTGAGAAAATTAAGTGTGGGGAAAAAGGGTAAAAAAAAAAAAAAAGAAAAAAGAAACTAGCCCTCAAATACTAGCCTTATATATGGGTGAGGGAAAAATTAAAATAGTAAGCCAGATTCTTTCTGGAACTTAAGTCATTCTCTGGGAGTAAAATGGGGATAGTAAATGAATTAAATTACATTATATTTTTCAAGCTACTAAGCCTGTATATATCATAATCTACCTGGCCATTGTGGCTCTATTTTTCTAGTTCATTTCAGTACTCTAAACATCAGTTTCCACATATGTAAGATATGCAAGTTGAAACATTTGCCACACCTGCACTTTGCAAACATTACAGCCCTACAGAAATGTGACTATTTTGCAGAGATGTTGTAAGGACCAAATGAGTCTGTTTATGTGCAGACAAATGCTTTGAAAGCCGATTTATTGTGGAAAAATGTATAGACATTTTTCCTTGATGCAGCATTCCAATTCACATTACTAAATCCAACTTAACTACACCACGATTAAGGAAACTTCTGATAGCTTCCTGATGTCAATCACATTTAAATAATCATACAGTTCTGAAGTCCTATGACTATAGCCTAACTACCACTTTCCATCACTTTCCATGCCTCTATGAGTCACACTACAGAATGAGTGCAGGGTGAAGGTCAGGTCCAGTGACCTGCCCATAGTTTAAAATACAAGAGAATGGGTAAAGGAGGGTATTTAGCACAGATAAGCCTAAGTGATACAATGCAAGGACTTTGATTTATGGTATTTTAGACTTAACACCAATGACCATGCCTTTTGCCACTTCTTAAATGAGCAGAATAAATTACAAGATTTGTGACTCACCTAGTAAAATCATTATTTAAATTTCATTTACATCACGTTTATAATTATACACACGGGTAGACAACACTTACCAATTTGCAACAATATTGGTGTGACCCAAGCCGTTTCCATGGCATAACAGAATTCCCTGCCAAACATTACTGCCCCATGCATCACCCAAAGGCGAACTGGTATGCGGTCTATGGATCCTTCACTAACTGTCTCATCGTGGTTCTCACTCTCTTTATTTTCAGATTTCTGAAGGTCTGGGGCTGGTGCAGCAAGCTCTTCAACTTGTATAGACTCCGAGTCGGCATTCTGAGGAGCCATTTTCATTACCACCAAAATATATATCTGTATTCTATCTATATAAATAATACTATCATATATCTTTAATGATAAATTAAGGTGTCTTCTCTTTGAGCTTCTGTCGTGTTCCTCATGCAGGTTAACACATTCCTCTTTGTACAAATGGGTATCTCAGAACTTCTCACCTATGTCTGAGACATGCAGCAAAAGAGAACGATATTTGGTAGGGCTTTAAACATATGGCTTGCTGGTTTACTGTGAATTAGAGTTAAAAATCCATAATTGCCATTCAGTTAATACCAGTTTCATCATTATTATTGAAGAGGTGCTGAAATTATTTTTCTTGCTACAGACAGGTGGAAAGGTATCACAAAAAGGCGGTCCACTGTTAATCCCCATCGAGTGACTGATTAATCTGCAAAAAAGAGAAAAAAGTAACCAAAACAAAACAGTCAGTGAGAAAGGCAATAGCTAGAATGGCCTATGTGTCTCTTCAATGGACTGTTTTTTCAAGAAACCTCTCTTTTCCCCAGTTGCCACCTGGCTAAATTGTCCATAGAAAGGTACTTAAAAAGCTATCCGGTGAATATTCTCTGGCCTCAAGAACTCATGCTGAATCTATATGTAGAGGACGACAAACGTTTACAAGAAGTACACCCATTTCTTAACACAAAGAGAGCATGGCACGGTGGCAAAACAAAAACAAAAAACAAAAAAACAAACCAAAATACGGGATTTATGTGACCAGGGCAAGTCACTTCACTTCTCTGGGCCTCAGATTCCTCAAAATATTAAGGATGGGTTGGATCTCTAGGGGCCTTTTCCCACTTTAAATTCAGAGATCTTACACTGGAAATAATGAATGAAGGAAAATGGAAAACAAAAAGGAAGTATGGGAGAAGAGAAATAACCTGCTGAGGGCAAGGGTTCCTTCAAACTCCGCCCCCCCAAACAAGTATTATACCATACAAACATATTCATCTAATTTAAGTAGACAATAGATCCTTTCAATGCCTATCAACATTGGAGGAAAAAAATTCTTTAGGTCTTCCATGGAAGTATGGTGCAGATAAAACCAAGTCCTGACGCCTACTCAAGTGGCCAGTAGGTAAGTTCTCTGCTATGCCAATCTCAAAATACAAAAATGTCACTTTAATGGCCTATCATTCTATACTTTGTGGAAATAAGCTTTATTAAAAAAAAACCTTCCAGTAAGAATTAAACCTCGATTAAGTGAATGGGAACTAACTAAAACTCTCTTCCTCCAAACGTTAACCCCCAACTTAGTCAGCATTTAAGAGGAAGAAGCAAATCTCCCTCCTAACAAGAAGATAATGTATTCTCACATATACCCAAGATAGCCTAAAGCCTCTCTCCTTCTCAGGTCACTGGATTTGTAGTCAGAAGACCTGGGTGTACATCTCAGGCTGTGCTACTTACTACCTGTGTGCCCTTAAACAAGTTACTTACCTTTCTTTCTACAACCTCTTCCAGCTCTGAACCTATGAAAAGCCTTTGAGGCATGGCCTGTGGTTAATACAGACACACACACATACAATGATAACCATATAGTGATGATAACAGTCTTTAAGAATGACAAAACTCTGGCTCAAAGGAAAATTAAATGATTATTACTACAAGCTTAGGAAGAAAAGAGTGTCAAAAGTTTTTCCCCCTTCAGCAAAACAAAAAAAAATTTCTAAGCAAAACTCACATTCACATCTATTCCATTTAACTGAGATTCTACCATACTAGTCATAGAAATGCAAGATGCCTCAAGATGTCATACATACCACCTAATTCACAGGGTTTCTATGAAGAACTCTGTAAACACTTAAATATAATGTAAACAAATTTGTTTCAGTCATATCCTCTAACTCAGTTAAAGCTTCATTCAGTTAGAATAAACACACCACTAAACTACAAATTCCTAGAGAAGGCCATAAAGTACTCAGAACTTTTTTGGGTTAGGAATCGCTGTACTAAAAGGACCCTTTATACCAGAATGAAGTTTAATTTAAGCTTACTTTTTCTTATTTAGCTCAACCATTCCTGAGACATTCTTGATCCTATTATGTCTCCCAAATTTTATACAAGTCTTATCACTTTCCCTATATTTCAAAATATCTAATATGTATTTTTTTAAGCCAGGCAGCTAGGTGGCAAAATAGATAGAGTGCTAGAGTCACGAAGACCTCTTCCTGAGTTCAAATCTGGCCTCAAATGGTCCTGGGCAAGTCACTTAACCCTGTCTGCCTCAGTTCCTCATCTGTAAAATAGACTGGAGAAGGAAATCGCAAACTACTTCAGCAGCTTTGCCAAGAAAACCCCAAATGGGGTCCACTAAAAGTTTTGGACAAGACTGAAAAAACTGATTGAACAACAACAAAATTTTTAAGCCAGACTTCCATTTACATATCTCAAACAAAATTAAGATTTCCTACTCTTCTCACACCCACAATTCTTGAACCATTCATACCTTAAAGTAAAACTTATGAATTTATCTGTAAATCATATTCTCAAGTGAATTCAACATTAATTTGAAATTCACAAGGATAAAAGAAAATCTGCTCATTATTAGGAAAAAAGCCATCACATCCATCCTCCAAATAAAATGACCCATATTTGCACTGATAAACAGATCAACTGTAGTCTTGTCTGAACTACAAAATAATTAGTTTTCTAAGAGATCATGGGGATTTAATGAACAAATAAATAGTTCAAAGAAGGTTCTATCTTCTTCTTCCCCATCTACTGAAAACTGAGCCACTGAGCTGCTGGAGGTTCCTGATGACCAGCTTAATTTCTTTAGAAGATGAAAAGCAGGCAACACTCCCTAATTATAAATACACAGTTATGACACTGGCTATGAAATCGGGAGGAATAGGATTGTGTTTGTTTTTTAAAGTTCCCTAACCCGTGCATGTTATAGAATATGAAAAGTCTCTCAGTGTTCCTTAATGAACAGCTTTATAATGATTAACAACTAGTTTAGATGTTATATTTTTCAAAAAGATTTCTTAATGAAACTTCCCTTATATGTGACACAATTTACATTTCTTTATCATTATATGACCATCTGCATTCTGATTCTGATGTAGAGCTGAAAAAGACGTACTAGTTTATTAAGTTCCCTGTAAGAGAAGATTAGCTGCACAAAGATGATGTTGATTTGGCAAGATACCTCAGTGCTACTCCTAGTCAAGGATCTTTTATAGTCAGTTGATTTATTTTACAGAAAGCACTAGATATTTAAGTCGTAAAAAGATTTATATAGTAACAACCAAGCTCCCATTTAAGGTCTCTTCTGTCAACATCCTTAACATTTCATATTGCTGATTTACTAAAATTTTTAGTTCTTAGCTACACGTCTAATTTTCCAATTACATGTGAATTCAGAGAACCAGGTATTATATATAAACACTTTACAGGGTCTTATTTATAAGCATATGGTTAAGAAAAGTCTATTTAGTAATAGCTTGGTGTAAAAAACAGGCAGAAGATACGGGCACAAAAATAAAAAATCTTTCAGAACCTGTGCTTTCCAATCGTATTAGACACAATGACAGAACTTTTAGATATAAATTTGGTATTATTAATCCTACTAACATGAAAGTTTCAGAATTTTGAAGAAAATGTTAAAATATATTTTATATTTCATTTTTACTTCAATTTGTTCCTTTTTCACATCATTTTTCAGATTTCAAAGATTGACATTTTCTTCAATAAAATATTATAGAAATGTAAAGTGCTACATGATCATCAAATACATTTTATCGAGGAATATATAAAATTTCTCACACTTTATTTTATAGCATTTACCACTTGGGTGATCTGAGCTCTTCTAAGGCAAGTGAACTTCAATAAAAAATTGGGACACAGCTCTAACAATGTTGGACATTAGACAATGTGTCCTTTACTACAGGGCAGTCTTGGTTCCATGGTAGTATATAGCTCAGCTTCTAGGGACAGAGCCCCCTGCAGGAACAGAACAGGGCTACAGCTAGATTGCTGGGCTAGTTTGCACAGTAAATAAGAGAGTTAAGTAGAAGCTGACTGGAATAAGACAAAGCCAGTCTCCTCCCTAAAAAGGTGACCTTCCTTTGGAAATTATACCCAGGTTCCCCCAGCAGTATTATTAGTTAAGCACTTATGAAATGGGATGAATTTGGTTTTTGTTTACCTGTCATTCAAGCAGTCTGGGCATTAAAACAGCTGGCTTCCCTTCCTCAAGTAGTGCAAACGTGGAGGCACAGTAAATAGTTTTTACACAGGTAACTTCACTGTCATCTATATTGGTGAAAATGACAAACCTTGTTAGCATCTTTGGCTTAAAAATTAATAAATATACATACTAATTCACCAAAAACTAGGCAACTGTATGTGGTTTAATCATGTGTAATATTACAAATTGAGGAGAGACAATATTTACCAATAGAACAAAAGCAGCTCAGCATGGTTTCCAAGAAGTGTAGGTAAAGCTTTTTCAAAAAAAGCTTAGGTAACTTTCCTAAACTATGTCTTTGAAGACAAATAACTTTCAACCCAGTTAAGCATTTTGCTGCTTCCTTTAAAGATACCACACTAATTCAGTTTACAATACCTAAACTGTTCCTTATTTTATATGGGGCACCCTACAGCGCCCCCCCCAACATATCAAAAAGACTCTATTTGGCAAATTATTGCTTCTATCTAACAATGATTCTCAATTTCATTTCTGTAAAGCCCTAGGATTTCTATAAATGTATGACTGGCACACTGTATTGACTACACACGTATTTTCATCTATTTATTTGTATATATTTCCTCCATAGAACAAATTCCTTATGGGTAGGGACAGTTTCCTTGTTTCTCTTTGCACCCCGATCACTTCCCACAGTGGCTGACACAAAACAAGACATTTAATAAATGCTTCATTGACTCATGTATGAATGTTTCATGGACAGTGATTACAAATAAGTTTAACAGTCCAGAGAACAGTAATTCTCATACATTAAAATAAATGGAAAGTTGAGAATGTTACATCTAAGAAGGCAGTCAAATTTTTGCCTTGGGATTCTTTCACCTTTCCTTCCCTTCCCCTACCTCTCCATCTTCGTTATACCCTCTTTACTTTCCCAGGACGAGCAACAGAAGAGATAGCTTCCCCGCCCCCCCATACAGAGGCTGCTATTTTGATTCTCTAGATAGCAAAGTGGAAAATATAGGTAGGGAAAAAATGGAACTGGGGTAAGGACACAGGTTTTCAAGGCATACTTAGCTGAAAATTATGGCATACCCTTTGAGAACTGCAGAGCTGGGAAATGGAGGAGCTTTTAAATGAGAAGTTTGTTGAATTTCTCCAGTTTCTTTTTTTTTAAATCAAGGGAGATACTTCTCCATAGTCATTACCTCCACTCCAGTACCCATGTTACCTTAAGATTCCCACTAGACAACCCTACTTCCTTAAGTGGTCCATGTTCCAAATTATCTATTCCTCTCCCAATAAAAATTGTTATAAAAAAGAAATACACCACCTCTGGGGAGAAAAAAAAAAGAGGGAGGCAGAGCCAAGATGGTAGAGTAGCAAGAAGCAGTATCACCAACTCACAAGACTCCTCCAAATAGATCTAGAAAACGCACCAGACTCAATTCCGATGGGGAAATCCGAGAAAAAGTCATAGTAATTTTTCCTGCCCAGGGTGGCATAAGGAGATAGACAGAGAGGTCTATGTGCAAACAAAAGGGATAGAGCCTGGCCAAGAGTGGCCATGAGAACCATACTAACACTTAGGGAGAGGCTATACACCAGGGCAAAAGTAGAACTCAGACCCATAATAATAAGCTCCATTTGGCAGCTTTATCACTCACTACACAGTGACAGGTCACTTATCTAGGGAGGACTTAGAATAGGACAAGCACTCAGGAATAACAGGGGTCCTGGGTTCCATAAATAGAAAGAACAAGTTCAGAAGCAAACAGAAGCTGTGTGGCTTGGATATCAGGAGCAGAAAGGGTTCTCAATTCCAGCTTCTAGCCTAGACTGAAGCCCACAGAGCAATAATCAGGGCAGGAAACCAGACCAAAAGGGGAGCCTGCAATTCTATTGCTCATAGAGTCCCAGCTAGCTGCTACTGGCTTAGTTCAGCAACAGTAGTCTATTGCTGCTCAGCCCCAGACTGAGGTACAGAATTTGCAGAGTTCAGGCCTGGAGGAATGGTGATCAGATTTTGCCACTATATCATACTAATGTGGAAGCACTAAAAGAATGATGACTCCTAGCCTAAGCTTTCCCTGAGATCCTGGAATAGCACAACAATCAATACTCTAAGAAAGCAGCAACAGGACCAATCTAGAAATTCCTTCTAGAAGTGCACAGTCTAGTGCTATGAACATCAAGCCTAAAGTCACAAAGTAGGCTAAAAGAATGAACAAATAAAAATCCCATTAAAAAGCTTTAAGAGTGACAAAGACACTTAAGACACAAACTCAATGGAAGAGAATGATTCTGCAACAACTACAGCAAAATCTCAAAGAAAAACATGGCTTGGGTAAAAATTCAAGTAGAATTCTTAGAATGAAAGCACTACAGGAAAAAATTGAAAAAGAAATAAGTATAGAAGAAATAATTGGAAAGAGAATGGCTTGGCACAAGAGGTACAAAATTCTGTCCAAGCAACAAGTTCCCTTAAAGTTAGAATGGAACAAACAAGTCAATGAACTCTTGTGAGACAAGAAAAAAAGTAAAAGACAGTCAAAAGACTAAATAAAAAGAAAATTTAAGGTATTTCATAGCAAAACCAAGTAACCTGAAAATTAAATCAAGATTCAAGAATCACTGGACTACCTGAATGCCATAAGCAAAATAAGAGCACAAACATCATATTTCAAGAAATAAGTAAACTGCCCAAATCACTTAGAATCACAGGGCAAAGATAAAACAGAAAGAATACACCAGTTGCACCCTCAAAAACAAAAACAAAAACAAAAACAAAAACCTCCAGATGAAAACTCCCAGGAAAATTACAGCCAAAAGATGGTGCTCTCTCAGGTCAAATAGCCAAAAAGAAAGAATTCAGATACAAAGGAGCCATAATCAGGATTACCTAAAGAGTGGAAAACTTGAAACATGAAATTTTAGAAGGCAAAGGATAGAGGTTTATAGTCAAGAATAACTAATCCAGCAAAATTTGAACCTCTCTCTCAGGTAAATTGGGCAAATGAGAGAATACATATAAGTGTACATATATATGTATGTACATATATTCATAATATATATACACACATACTCACAAAGGATACAGAAATATATTTCCCTCAACAGGGAAATAGGAGGAAAAAGGGAAAGGGGAAACCAGAGAGAATAGGCTAAGGGAGGGATTAGCCCTTGGAAAAATATTACTCTATACAAAGATGTAAAAAATATGTTGGTTTCAGAGAAACCTGAGAAGACTTATATGAACTTATGCAGAGTGAAGCAAGCAGAACCAGGAGAACAAATTATACTAAGACAACAATATGGCAAATACAAACAACTTTGTAAGAATTAAGCATTCTGTTCAGTGTAACAATCAACTACAATCGCAAAGGATTAATGATGAAATATGCTACCCTCTCCCTTCCTGAGTGGTGAAGAACTTGGAGTACAGAATAAGACATATGTTTTTGGACATAACCAACGTGGAAATCTGTTGTGTTTCACAGCTGCTTTGTTTTTCTTTTGTTCTCAATTGGGAGTGAGGGTGGGAGAGAAGGTAGAAAAGGCAGATTTGTGTTGATTAAAAGAATCCAATTGAACATCAGTATTAACAGTATTTTCCCTGTGAAATACTGAAGAAATTATCAAAAAAAAAAAAGTATAAAACTTGTGGCAAAATTTAAATACCTGGGGAGAAGTCTGACTGGGAGGGAGTATGAACAGGGGGCATCATTCATAAAAATATATATGTATTCCAGTCAATGGACTGGACAGGACAGACAACTTAGGTCTATACTGCATTTCAATCTTTTTTTACAATTTCTTCTCTTTCTACCTCCAGAAACACACAGACGATTCTCTAAAAGCTCAGTAATTTTATCCCAGTTGTGACCAGTAGTGGGAGAGAAAGAACAGGGAGAAAGTGGCAAGCATAATAGTGAAGCGAAAGCAGCTTTACAGAAAAAGTAAAGTGAGGCACAAAGAAAGTAAGGGACTTGCTCACAGATGCAACAACTAATTGCCAACATCTGAACTGTAACAGATTTGTACTGGCAAGTCACTCACTTTGAGTTTCAGTCTCCTCTGTAAAATGAGGGAGTTGGCTAAAGTTACTTCTGTCTCTAAATCCTACTATGCTATGACTTTGAATCCAAGTCATCGTTCTTTTTATTACATTACACCACTGGGCTTTTCGAACATTAGGATAGGCAAGTGAGGGACAGCCTATACTTCAGTCCACCACCAAGTAAAAGCTTTGTATTTTAAAAGAAGTATTTAAAAAAATTTTTTTTTATTGTACAAGAAGGAAACCATAACTCTTTCCACAATATGCAAATTGTGGTAAAGGGAAAATGCTCCTCAAACAAATCAGACCATAGTGTTCAACTGACTGCTGAACAGATAATACCGCCCACCCACATACACTCCCAAATTCTTGGTCAACTATATTAAAACCTTAACAATGTTGAAAGCATGAAAGAACAAGTTTCTCTTCCACAACTGTGCCAATATTTTTGGAATCAGTTTTTCTTATATTTAAAATTCCCTGTAACACGTAATCCTGTAACCAACTCTTCCAAATTCTACTTCAGATCAGCAAAACTTGGAAACACAGATTTCCCCAAACAAGAAAAAAAGCAATCTAACTTTGGAGCTTGTTCCGATGATTGTTTGAACAGTGACAATAATTGTTATGATTCTCAGATGCACTCAGACAAGTGAAACTACAATTGTTCAAATCAACAACTTCCTCTATTGTCCTGTTTCTAATTTCATGGTAACTAATGCCAAAACATGTGACTTCCTTCAATTTGTTATGTGGAAAAGCTTGCTGAAAATTTTTTATGATCAGTTTAAGTTATCTTAATATGAGTCCCATATTTTTTCCAGACAGACTCCATGAATGGTCTTCATTTTTCTCTGAGCTCCATTCATCACTCTCTTGACTTTTTCCATCATGCTACAGTAAACTTCTCACCCTAGAAGTTCATTCTTTGTTTACAGTCCCTTCCTCTAATAAGTTGGCTCTTCCCAGAACCTCCATTTTAAGGAGAGTGCCCAGCCTTATTGGGATAGGGTGTGATGGATCCATCTTCCCACCTGACCCAATTCA